GGAGGGAATCCAGGCATCCATGGCAGAAGGAAAATCGTTCGCCGAAGCGGTTCGAACCACACTCTGCAACTATCGTGCTACTCAACATGCACTCACAGGAACATCTCCAGCGGAGTTAATGATTGGCCGAAAGCTTATCTTATCGTTGGATAATTTGAAGCCCCTCAAACTCTTCAACATGCGGCTGCCCCTTCGGAGGTCGAATACGTTGCCACTAAGCAGAAAGCATTGAAATCGTTCGCGGATATTAAACGCAAATCCAAGCTTCCTAAGTTCGATGATGGTCCTTGGGTTAGAGTGAAAAACCAGTTCCCGGTTACAAGTTGATGCCCTTCCTGACTGAACCATTAGAAATCGTGAAGTGCATTGGTCCCTCAACCTTTCAGCTACGAGATGGTACCAAATGGAATGCTCGTAGGTTGGTTCATGTGTTCAAGGCTTCGGCCCCGAGTCCTGACACCAGTAGTTTCATCCATGACGCTCCAATTAAAATCGAGCTTAATCAGAATCTGAATCGACCTCAGACGAACCATGGTTTTAATCGTCTGTCCCTACCCGATCTGGAGCTGAAAAATTCATGTGCTGTTGTTACGCGTCCCCAGCGTGACCGACGTCATCTTATTAGACTTAAGGATTATGAACTCAATTTCTAAGTACTTAATGTAGGAGCTTAGCTTTTCTCGTGAGGAGGGAAAATGTAGTATAGCTGTCAGTGTGGCATTCTGGTGTAAATGTCATGTACTTGTCAAATAGTTCAATTTAATTACGTATGTTTATGTCGATACGATATTTAAGACGAGGCCTGTACCGAATACGGGACTTGTGAGTGTAGGTTATATGTCGTAGGGTTGTCTTGTAATTTTGTGGACATTAAATTTGCTTGTTTGGATACCACACGCTACAGCGACACCGAGCGAAACGAGACCTTAATACGTACTTAACAGAACTCATTGTCATAACTTTAAAACAATATTTTGTTATATAGATAATCAAAAGTCTCATCGCTGGTTTGTCCTATGGTATAGAATCCGGCTTCACTTATCCGTATAACCACGATGAACAACAGCAACCTCTCTCATTTTACATTTTCCAAACTTAAACAAATCAGACCAACATCGATGGGTTCGTGTTGCTTATCGAACTTTTAAGTTGTAAAAGACTTTTTACAGGTGTATCTTGAATAACTGAAAATTTTGACATGAATGCATACTTCTGCATCTGTTTAGATACACTTGGTTGGAGTCCCGACCGACCCGCCAATTCTTGTAAACACATCCTGGACTCTGGGAATCACAAAGGAGATGGGGAGTACTGGATCGATCCTGTCAAGAGTGGGAATCCTCTTAAAGTCTATTGTGACATGACAACTGACGGTGGTGAGTGATGGAAAATAAGGTCAGATTTTATTAAAAGGGGCTCTAGTCTGGCCATACCTATCAACGTTAACTGTTGTTATGTCATCGCGGAAGATCATTTTTCTGAAAAAGTTGCAAAGTCTGACTCGTAACGAGCAAGATTTGTTCTAATATCTAAAAATTGCTGTCAGTGAAAAGTTAAGTTTTAAAAGTTGTAGTGTAACAACTGTAGCGTACCAACGCGCTACCTGAAGATGCCTAGAGGCCAGATGGCATGAGAAATAACACTGAAAAAAAAAACAAAAACAAAACAAAACAAAAGTCACAAACTCTAGTATCCAGCTACTACTTTTCCAGCTTACTATAAGTTTTTCTTCTGCCCGATGAACCTTGTTCCAATTATAATTTCAGGAGGTTGGCTCGTTGTCTGCAATGTTGTTTTCGACGGCTTCTTCAATATATCAGCGACGTCATCCTACCGCGGAATTCAAAACTATGTCGATCACAGTAAGATGTGTCTTACCAAAGTAGCCATGAAAAAATTCCAAACTATCTTGTCATTTACTCAGTTAAGGTTCTACTGTAAAAAGCAAAATCCTGGGCGAACGTTTCACGTGGTCACGGCCGCTAACAGTAGTGGTCAAGCTGTGATTCAGTACTTCAGCGATCTGACGGATGCGCTGCCCAAAGCCTGTAGCTTGTTCGTAAGAATGGATGATGACGACTCCTGGCTAGCTGAAAAGTGCCACGAATGGGGGGCAGAGGAAAATGATATTAAGGTCGGGAAGTGGGGACTTAGTGGCGTCACAGAGAGACTGTATAATCACGCGGCTTTTATTTGGAGCCATTATCACTGGATGATACTACCCGATAGGTGGGAATGCGATGACTTCCACGGTAACGTCACCATTGGTGATTTTTGGAAAATCTTTGTTCGTTAGAAGCTGAGAAGCTTATATCTTTTTCAATGAGAAGCCCTGATCGACCTTTTAAGAGCAATTCTTAACTGCGCATTGAAAGAAAAACTCTGTGAGTTTTGTAAATTTTACCAGGTCACTTTCCTGTCTTTACCAGGTCACTTACATTGTTCAAAATTCAAGAAATTAGATTTTCTTTTGTTTTGCTTGACCGAGCGTACCTATCTCTCGGTTTCCATACTTACTAGTAGCTAATGTTACGTTGTACTTACCATATTTAGATAAAAGTACTTCACTCGGCTAACTTCAATGTAATAGCAGTGACCTATTTTCAAAGTTTTGTTGTAACAGTCTCACAGTCCTGCACTTCATTTATGGTGAAATTCCCACGTGCCCTCTTGATTTTTATTGGAGCAGGTATTAGGTTGCACCTTGACAATAGTTCTTGGGTAAATATCGCATCTAGGCGTTTGGAGGCTTTTCATAAGCACCTTCGGAGCCATTTTTTTTTTTTTAAATTGAAAGTGATATTTGTTACTCTCGCTACCTTTTCATAGATAAGAATAAAACATCAAAGGATTCATAGAAGTCAGTTATAATAATTACTCGGTTTGCTCTTCTGAACGTTCATAGAAGGTTTCTGGCACATATAGACTACGATAAAGAATTATATATTTATATAAATATATATATTTATATAAATATATATATTTATATATATATTATATATATTTATAATTATAGACAAATTATCGGTGGGAAAAAACAGATGAGATAAGAAAATAGTGACAGGCATCTGTTTGAAAAAACAATTTTGATTGCAAGTGATATAACTCAACGCTCAAGACTCGTAAAAAATTCATTGACTTCTTAGCATGTTGGTAATGTTTAAATTCAAAGTTTATGATTCTCAATTCAACTGTTTACGATTTGTTTCATTATCATATCGCTTACTGAGGAGCAAACTGACAAAATAAGAACAAAATATTAAAAAAAATAAATAAATAAACATGACGCAGCTTCTGCTTACGATTAAACTTGTATATACCCACGTTTAGTCAGTAAATTGTTAGCTAAATTAAAGTGGTGTTTAAACTAAAAAGTTTCTGTATGTGGTATGTTGTATATAATTCGTGCCGAAAACATTCAGTCTGTTATAGGCAAAAATGAGAAAACCTTCAAACTGATATGGGGAATTTTTCTCCTTTTTTGTTTGATGGTATCTTAAACTAGCTGTGATCTTAAGCGTTCATGCTCATTGCAAGCAAAGTAACAAATGCAGCATAAATTACTGATGGGCTTAAAAATCTCTATTAAATTACCCTTTACAATCACGAAAAATAAATTGTGACCACAAAAGGATGGTGTCGTTTATTTTTTTTCAGACCCTTGGTTCCTAATTTTGTGTTTTGGGAAGTAGGTGGGTTTGATATTTCCATGATATCTTTCGACGTGTAATTGTTTTCAGTCTCTCTGATCAGATCAGAATCAAAATTTTAGAATTAAAATCAACTATTTTATTATCAAAAGAGAGGTGGATAAAAGTGGTCGAAACACCAAAGCCAGTGTTACGACTACATTAA